GGAGGTCCGGGGCCCCCCCCCCCGGCCGGCGGGGGGGGGGCCGCTGCGCCTCACCGTTTCCGCCGGAGGCGGGGGACCGGCAGGGTGGGAACCGCTTAAACAGGAGGAGGGAAGTGTAGTTACTAAAATTAGGCTGGCAGGATTATTTCCGAATAAACATCACTCAGGATGAGTAACAATTTAATGGGCTCTTTTTTTAGCGAGGGGGAGTACGGCATGTGCCGGTGCGGGGGCACCCCAGCCCTTTCCACCACCCTGCCAACCATGCTGGGTTTAGGACAAGCTGGCTGGGGCGAGCATAGCAGGGAGACGGTGACGGTGCTGCTGAACGCAGCCAGCACCAGGGGAGCCTCATGCCAGGTTCCTGCTATTTTCATGGGTTAGGGACAGCCGCACCGTCCCGCCTGGGCTGGGGGACACAGGAGGTTTAAATGTCACATCCTCCTCGGGGGCTGAGTGCTGGTGCTGGCAGGACATCCCGACCTGCCCGTTGAGCATGAAGATGCTCTTCACTGGGGAGGGAAAAATGTTCTCTGCAGAGGGTGGGTTCATGACGGTGACCTTGAGGGACAGTGCCCCAGGCAGGGAGCGGGACCTGGCCCCCCCAGCTGGGGGGTGTGGGCAGCGGGGCGTTCCAGCAGGAGCCGAGCTCCTCCAGGCCCACCATGGCCAAACCCCGGCTCTGAAAAACCGGATTCAAACAGCTTGATGAGCAGCTACCCAATTAGTCACGCACTGCGCTGGGATTATTTTCCTCGGCTATGAAAAGGCGCTGGGAGGCCCCGTGGAGGCACACCCGGCACAGCCCCCCCCATGGGCCTGCCACTCTGCACCCCACAGTGCACCCGACAAAACCTGGCTCAGCTGCACAGGTGCCGAGTCACGAAAATAAAGCGCTGGGTGCTCTGGTGGCCTCCGTCTGGCAGAAGGTGCTGGTGTTTAACCAGCAGGTAATGCCGGCGCTGTCTCACCTACGCGGTGAGATTACCAAACACCGAGGATTGTGGTTGCTTTTGAATTTCTTCAGCTAAATGCACAAGGTGCTTGGCTAGATGCTAAAAATAGCGCTCCTGCCCTGAGGGTTTCGTGGGCCTGGCGGACAAACCCCAGCTAATTCGGCTGCTGTGCGGCACAACGGTGCTGCTGGAACGGCTCCACGGGCGGGCGTTCGTAAACAGGAACGCGGGCTCACGCCAGAGCATCTCGCAGCCCCACGGAGGGGAACGCTGCCACAACTCCCGTCCCTGCACAGGCCCAGCGGTGGCTTCACAGGACACGCAGTCCCTCGCCCAGGCTGCAGGGCTGTGCTGCTGGCCCTGCGCCTGTGCGGTATCCCGGTGCCACCCCGCACACCCCTGAACACCTCGGGTCACTGGTGCGTGGCAGAAGGGGTGAGGGAGGTGGTGGCCCCTCGCTGGGTGTGCTTAGTTCCCAGCTGCTGGAGAGGGTGGGGAAATACTACTTTTTGTCACTGCTGTGCGGGGTTTATAGGAGCTGACCGCTGCACACCCCAGGGGAAACGCAGGCGGGGCAGCAGCCCGAGAACGATGCTGTGAAGCAGGGTCCTGCCCCGCACCGGGAGCTCCCGCAGCCCCGGGGGGGGTCCCAGGACCCGTCGGTGCCACACGCAGGGTCAAATCCTCCACTGCAACACTTCAGCGAGCATTTGCCAGCCCCGGCCGTGCGAGCACGGGGTGCGGCCGTCGGGGAAGGGGAGCCCCGGCCCCGGGGCAGCGGGGCGGGCAGCTCTTTGTGCTGGGCTGGCGCCTGCCTGCCGCCGCGCTGCCTCCGCGCCCGGGATAA